CCCTCCATGAGTAGGACAGGGGGCTTCACAACACTGCCCCTCACATTCTGCCATCGTGGGGTGGGGGCTGCCAGGTATCCCTATTCCCCCTTCCCTAATGAGAGCACCAACTGCCCCCAGCCAGTTCAGAGGGAGCAGGAACTGGATTTTACTTGGAGGTCACTGGATGGTGCTGGCGGAGAGCATGGCATATTCCAGAAGGTGCAGGGCCACAGGCAGAGACGGTTGGGGTTTGGGGTCATCCCTCTGGGGGAGGGTGTGATAGAAGAAAGAACCCACTGGTATCTGGTTGCCAAAAGGACAGACTGTTGCTGAGACTCACAGTGAATCATTACAAATCCATTTTCTGACCGCCCTGGATACACAGACTATTTCATAGTCTCCCCTTGCAGTCAATTGTGAGCAGAGGTGGACTGAGGCTTCTAAGAGGGAGAGGGCCCCTCCCTAACCTCTGTTTCCCCTTCACTGGCTGGATACAGAAGGGGAACAAAACAGCTGGAGCCTGGGTCCCTGAATCACTGTGTGGAGGAAAGCTATCCACTGGCAAGAGACACCTGCTTCGCACCACAGTGAGGAAGACCCAGATTAAACTGCATCTCAGCGATGAAGCATTTCTCAGCCCGTTTGTCCCAGCAGCTAACAACACAGGCCATGGCCAGGGGCCTAGACTCATTGCTGAGGCTCCACTAGAAGATTCTAAGCAGAGAAACAGTATGGGTGTATTGATTGTTTTAAAAGAATTATTGTGGCTGGGCCAGGTGTCACGCCTGTAATGCCAATACTTTGGGAGGCTGAAGGGGGAGGATCACTTGAGCCCAGGAATTGGAGACCAGCCTGGGTGACACAGCAAACCTCTGTTTGAAAAAAAAAGAAGAGAAAAGAAAAAAAACATGACTGTGGCTGGGATGTGGAGAAAGGATGGGAGGGATGAAGGCTACAGGTAGGAAGGCAGATTAGGAGGCCGTAACAGGTGCTAGGTGAGAGACCATGACATCCTGCACTATAATCGGGGCAGTGAGGAGTGAGAAAATGGGTAGGTCTGAGAGCTGACAAGTGGCAGGGTCAGGACTTGAACCCGGGTCTGCCTGAACAGAAGAGGGTGTGTTGAGGTGTGTGTGGTGTATTATATGCATGGCCCCCAGACTCCATCTCCGCTGCCGCTGAGTCAGGCCAGAGTCTACCAACCCTCGCTTGATCTTTTGGCCTGACTGCCATCTTGCCCCCTGCGGGCTCCATGCAGCAGCCAGAAAGATCTTTCTAAAACCTCAATCACATACTTTCTCTCTCCTGCTCAAAAGTCCCCAATGCCCTCTTATTTTCTGCATGAAGGATCAGACCCAGGGGTCCCAGTGCGGCCCCTGCTTAGCCTTGTTGCTCCACCTCATCACGCTTTAGCTGCACGGACTTTGTGTTCAAGTCTTTCAAGCTTATTCCTGACTCAGGGACTTTGCACATGTTTCCTTTACCTGACACCTTCTTCGACATAGTCTCCTAGTTTGATCTTCCTTGTCATTTTGGCCTGTTTTAGTTAAAGATGTGTTCAGCTGCTAGAAAAACCTACCTCACAGGGCATTTCATTTATCTCATGTATCATGAAGTCTGGAGGATGAAGGTCCAGAGTTTGTGCAGTGGTACAATGATGTCACTGGAGGCCTAGGCTTTTCTCATCTTCCCTCTGCTGCATCCTTGCTGTGTTGTTTTTTGTCCTCATGCTTCTTGCCTCATGGTCACAAAATGGCTGCTGTGCCTCCAGGTATCACATCCATATTCCAGGCACTGCCTTCCCTGACCTCCCCATCTAACTCTGGCTCCCTGGGCACTCTATCCCATTACCCCAGCTTATTCTGATCCCATATCACTACTTGGAAGTGTCCTACTAGTTTCCTTGCTTGCTGACAATCTCCTGTCACGGCAGTCAAAGCCCCACTAGGCAGGTTCTTTCATTTCCATCTTGTTCCTTGCCAGAGCCCAGCCCCGGCACAGTATCTGGCACATAGAAAATGCTCAATAAATATCTGCAGACTGTATGAATAATAAAGTCCCCCAGCTGGCTTGGTGCCAGAGGCAGGACTCAAATCCAGGCCTCCTACCTCATGGGCTTGGGTGTTTCCCAGTGTATCCTGGGGCCTCCCTGCTGCTCTCTGTGAGGGACCCAGGCAGTCCTGAGCAGCAGCCAAATCCTCTGCAGTCTCCAGCCACAGGAACAAGGAGCCTGTGTTTTAAGGTCCAGTGGAGAGACAGAGAATCCCACCACCAGGGTTTAGGGGCACTACCTGCTCACAGGTGAGCAGCATTTTCTCAGAGGCACGCTGGCTGGCCTTCCCAGACAGTGCAAAGCCCAAATTCAATAGCAGCCCTCGCCTGCCGGGAAAGAGCCTCCCTCTTCAAGGATCTTCCAGTCACCTGTGTAGGTGAAGCAGGGCTCAGCTCTAGGCCAGCATGCCCCTAACTCCAATAAATGCACAGCCCCAGTGCTGAGATGTAGGGGAGCAGCCAAGTCTATCTAGAATTTAATAATCGGTCTTGGTATTGGTCTTCATTGTATTTACTTTTGCAGTTACCTGCACATGACACAGGTGTTCCATTTAGGTGGCTGCATAGAGTCTCCTTTACTTTTTTTTTGAGACGGAGTTTCGCTCTTGTTACCCAGGCTGGAGGGCAATGGCATGATCTCGGCTCACTGCAACCTCCGCCTCCTGGGTTCAGGCAATTCTCCTGCCTCAGCCTCCTGAATAGCTGGGATTACAGGCACGCGCCACCATGCCCAGCTAATTTTTTGTATTTTTAGTAGAGACGGGGTTTCACCATGTTGACCAGGATGGTCTTGATCTCTTGACCTCGTGATCCACCCACCTCAGCCTCCCAAAGTGCTGGGATTACAGGCGTGAGCCACCGCGCCTGGCCCAATTATTGTATTTTTAGTAGAGACGGTGTTTCACCATGTTGACCAGAATGGTCTCGATCTCTTGACCTCGTGATCCACCCGCCTCGGCCTCCCAAAGTGCTGGGATTATAGGCATGAGCCACCGCGCCCAGCCGAATTTCCTTTTTTAGATAAAATACTTATTTTTTGAGAAGGAGTCTCACTTTGTCTCCCAGGCTGGAGTACACTGGCACAATCACAGCTCACTGCAGCCTCAACCTCCCAGACTCAGGCAATCCTCCTGCCTCAGCCTCCTGAATAGCTGGGACTACAGACATGCATCACCACTCCAAGCTAATTTTTTGATACTTCGTAGAGACAAAATCTCCTGATGGTGCCTGGGCTTGTCTTGAACTCCTGGCCTCAAGTGATCCTCCTGCCTCGGCCTCCCCAAGGGCTGGGATTACAGATGTGAGCCATCACGCCCAGCCAGTTTCCCTTTTAAATAAATATGTTTCAGTGTTCAAAGAGTGAACTCACTTAAAAACCCATTATTTAGAGTGGATGAAGTTTCCATCATGACAGCAGGGCTCATTTCTAAGAAGAGAGAGGAGGTGCAAAAGCAGGGGTGGCTGTTCAGGGCTGCTGCAAACTCACAATGTCACTGAGGCCAGAGCCCAGACTGCTTACTCCTCGTCCAGTGCTCGTCAGTCCTAAGATCAGAGATGCCTGAGCCAGCCTTGGGCTGACCACCATCATACCATCCATGGCAACATATTCGTGTGGACGGGCTGCCTTCCAGAAATGGCCTGTCCTGCTGAGCTCATGTTAGTTTCCAAGGGCAGGGAGGAGGGTGGTGCTGTGACAAGCTTCCACGCCTGCCCCGCTGGGTGCCCTGGTGCAAGCATACAAGCGACAAGTGGCAGCACTCATAGCCCTGGAAAGAGGACCCTCTGCACTTTCCACAGGAGCCCTGCCTGCACTGGAGAGTAAGGACAGCGGGGCCCCACAGCTGCACAGCCAGGAGGGAACCAGGCGCTGCTCACAAAATGCCTATAGTTCTTTCTGCACGAGCGTTGCTTTTAGAATTTACTGCACAAATAAGCCTAGCACAAAGCAGGTGCTCTTAAGTATTAGCTGAAAGAAAGACTTTTGGCCGGGCGCAGTGGCTCACGCCTATAATCCCAGCACTTTGGGAGGCTGAGGCGCGTGGATCACAAGGTCAAGAGATTGAAACCATCCTGGTCAACAAGGTGAAACCCCATCTCTACTAAAAATACAAAAATTAGCTGGGCATGGTGGTGTGTGCCTGTAGGCCCAGCTACTCAGGAGGCTGAGGCAGGAGAATTGCTTGAACCCAGAAGGCGGAGGTTGCGGTGAGCTGATATCGTGCCATTGCACTCCAGTCTGGGTAACAACAGCGAAACTCCGTCTCAAAAAAAAAAAAAAAGACTTTTGAATGAAAAAAATGGAGAAAACTACACTTTTTTTTTTTTTTTTCATTAAAAAATGGTTAGGTAGGTGTGGTGGAGCATACCTGCAGTCCAGCCACTCAGGAGGCTGAGGCAGGAGGATCACTGGAGCCCAGGAGTTCTGGGCTGCAGTGTGCTATGCTGATCAGGTATTCACACTAAGTTAGGCATCAAGATGGTGGCCATCTGGGAGCAGGGGACCACCAGGTTGACTAAGAAGGAGTGAACCGTCCCTTCTGGAAACGGAGCAGGACAAAACTCCCGTGCTGATCAGCAGTGGGATCAATCACACCTGTGAATAGCCACTGAACTCCAGCCTGGCCAACACAGTGAGACCTCATCTCTGAAAAAAGAGGGAAAAGAAAAAAATGAAAAATTAAAATTAAAAATATAAAAAGGATAGCAGGGTGCAGTGGCTTACACCTGTAATCCCGGCACTTTGGGAGGCCGAAAAGGGCAGATCATTTGAGGTTGGGAGTTCGAGACCAGCCTGACCAAACACGGAGAAACCCTGTCACACTAAAAAATACAAAATTGGAGTTCGATCGGTAGCGGGAGCAGAGAGAAGACCCCAGAGAGCCCTGAGCAGCCCCACCGCCGCCGCTGCTGGCCTAGTTACCATCACATCCCGGGAGGAGCCGTAGCTGCTGCAGCCAGCCCCAGTCACCATCACTGCAACCATGAGCAGCGAGGCTGAGACCCAGCAGCCGCCCACTGCCCCCGCCCTCAGCGCCGCTGACACCAAGCCTGGTACTATGAGCAGCGGCGCAGGGAGTGGTGGCCCGGGTTGCCTCACATTGGCGGCGCCTGCCGGCGGGGACAAAAAGTTTTGTGAACAGTAAAATGGTTCAATGTAAGGAACGGATATGGTTTCATCAACAGGAATGACACCAAGGAAGATGTATTTGTACACCAGACTGCCATAAAGAAGAATAACCCCAGGAAGTACCTTCGCAGTGTAGGAGATGGAGAGACTGTGGAGTTTGATGTTGTTGAAGGAGAAAAGCGTGCAGAGGCAGCAAATGTTACAGGTCCTGGTGGCGTTCCAGTTCAAGGCAGTAAATATGCAGCAGACGGTAACCATTATAGACGCTATCCACATAGTAGGGGTCCTCCACGCAATTACCAGCAAAATTACCAGAAGAGTGGGGAAAAGAACGAGGGATCAGAGAGTGCTCCCAAAGGCCAGGCCCAACAACGCCGGCCCTACCGCAGGCAAAGGTTCCCACCTCACTACATTCAGAGACCCTATGGGTGTCAACCACAAGATTCCAACCCTCCTGTGCACGGAGAAGTGATGGAGGGTGCTGACAACCAGGGTGCAGGAGAACAAGGCAGACCAGTGAGGCAGAATATGTATCGGGGATATAGACCACGATTCCACAGGGGCCCTCCTCGCCAAAGACAGCGTAGAGAGGACGGCAATAAAGAGGATAAAGAAAATCAAGGAGATGAGACCCAAGGTCAGCAGCCACCTCAACGTCGGTACCGCCGCAACTTCAATTACCAACGCACACGCCCAGAAAACCCTAAACCACAAGATGGCAAAGAGACAAAAGTAGCTGATCCACCAGCTGAGAATTCGTCTGCTCCCGAGGCTGAGCAGGGCGGGGCTGAGTAAATGCCGGCTTACCATCTCTACCATCATCCGGTTTAGTCATCCAACAAGAAGAAATAAGAAATTCCAGCAATAAGAAATGAACAAAAGATTGGAGCTGAAGACCTCCAGTGCTTGCTTTTGCCTGTTGACCAGATAAATAGAACTATCTGCATTATCTATGCAGCATGGGGTTTTTATTATTTTTACCTAAAGATGTCTCTTTTTGGTAATAACAAATGTGTTTTTTTAAAAAGCCTGGTTTTTCTCAATACGCCTTTAAAGGTTTTTAAATTGTTTCATATCTGGTCAAGTTGAGATTTTTAAGAACTTCATTTTTAATTTGTAGTAAAAGTTTACAACTTGATTTTTTCAAAAAAGTCAACAAACTGCAAGCACCTGTTAATAAAGGTCTTAAATAATAAAAAAAAATACAAAATTGGTGTGTCTTCACTAAAAATACAAAAACCTGGGCTTGGTGGCGCATGCCTGTAATCCCAGCTACTTGGGAGGCTGAGGCCGGAGAATCGCTCCATCCGGGGAGGCGGAGCTTGTGATGAGCCAAGATGGCGCCATTGCACTCCAGCCTGGGCAAAGAGAACAAAACTCTGTCAAACAAACAAAAAGATAAAAAGAATAAATGTATCAGATCACACCACCTTCCTCCTAACCCTCACCCACCCCCAGTGCCTGGCACAATCTCCTGTACAGAGGACCAAGCTGGAAGACACCCTCCATAATTCAACTCCTTTTTAAAGGAGAGAAACGGAGGCCCTGAGGTGGGGGTGATAGGTTAGTTAGGGGCAGGTGGGACAGAGATCAAGGTGTCCTGAGCGTCAGTGCAGGACTCCTGGCACACGCCGCCCTGAACATATGTGTTAGATCTGGGGGACCTTGGGTGGCAGGAAGCACCAGCAGCCTGGCAGGGCAGTACAGAGGTGGCTGCCCTGGCCTCCCTGATGCACAGGCCTGAGGGGCGCCTGACAGCCACTCCAGGTTGTGCCCAACCCAGGCTGCTGTAGACAGGTTCAAAAATGTGCCATGTCAACACAGCTCTGACTCCCGCCACCATGAGCTGCCAGGGAAAGTTCCAGAGCCATCTGGTTGGGGAGCCTGTGACTGGGTGAGGAGGGGGTGGCCCCCAGGCAGGAGCTGATAGCGGTGGTGAATCTACTCCCTTCTACTGAACTTTCAAACAATAGAGACACAGGTGTGAGCATGACAAGGCCGTGCTGCTCCCCTCAGGATGGGGGTGCTGAGGGCTGGGAGACTGCCGGGCCTCTGTAGCCTCCTAACCTCATCTACTCCCAAGGGCTCACTGCACTGAAACTCCAGGCTCCAAGTCACCTGCTTGAATGTCTCCACAGGACATGCCACCTCTGATGGCCACAGAGTCTCTCCTTACTTTTGGGCTGATGTTCTCACTCTGTCACTTTGCAGCGGGTTGAATGGTGACCCTCAAGGTGACACACCCACATCCTAATCCCTAGAACCCATGAGTGCCACTATATTTGGAAAAATGGTCTCTGTAAATGTAGTTAGGTTAAGGGTCTTTTATTATGATAATGATGATTTTGAGACAGGATCTCACTCTGTCGCCCAAGCTGGAGTGCAGTGGTATGATCTCAGCTCACTGCAGACTCGACCTTCTGGGCTGAAGAGATCCTCCCGCCTCAGCCTCCCAAAGTGCTGGGATTACAGTCGTGACCCACCGCACCAGGTCAGGTTAAGGACCTTGAGATGAGGAGATCATCCTGGATCATCTAGGTGGCCCCTAAATCCAACCACAAGTGTCTTCAGATGAGGGAGATGGAAGGAGAGCTGATACCAAAAAGGACCATGTGAAACCCTGAGGCAGAGCCTGGCATCATGAGGCCACGGGTCCAGGCAGGCCGCAGCCACAACTCATGGGAGAGTCAGGGAGCATCTCCCCAGAGCCTCTCAGGACCACAGCCCTGCCAGCACCCTGTTTTCATTCCTCCAAACAAATGCTTGCTGTTTGAAGCTACGCCATTTGTGATCATTTGCTGCAGTGGCCACAGGAAGCTAAGACACACCTGTCGTCCCCCCACCCCCCATCCTGGGAAGCAAATCCGAAGTTCTCCCCATGCCCCCTGCACTGTTCCCCCTCCCTGGCATTCTTCTTATCTCTCTTCCCGCCTATTATCTTCCTTCTTCTGACTCCACTTTCCCAGGCCAAGTAAGCCCAGGAGGCCTGGGGACCTGTGTCCTCTCTTCTCCATCAATTCCTATCTTCTCAGGCATTTTTTCCCCAATTCTCTCCTCAAACCACGAAGTGAGATGCAGCCTCAAAAGGCAGCTTCTTTCTCCATCCAGAAGAGTAGAGGGGCCTTGAGCCCAGGCAGGGAGGTGAAGGCTGGTGGGTAAGGTATTCAATCCTGGCTCTGCTGCCAGCTTGCTGTGGGGCCCCAGGGTCATCATAGGACCTCCCCAGGCTTGGCTGGGTTTCCCCTGCGGAAATGGGAAGAGTTGCGCCAGATCCCCTTCAGAGGCCCCTCCGAGCTGCAGTGCTCTCTCTCTAAAGAATTGGAGAGAAGTTTCTAGGAGTCCATGGGTTTCAGGGAGCAAGATAAGCTCCAGGTGCAAAATTCTAGAGAACATGGAAGGGTTAGGATGAAGCAAAAAAATGTTGGCCAGCCGTGGTGGCTCACGCCTGTAATCTCAGCACTTTGGGAGACCGAGGTGGGTGGATCACTGGAGGTTGGGAACTTGAGACCAGCTGACCAACATGGAGAAACACCTGTCTGCACTGAAAATACAAAAAAAAAAAAAAAAAAAGAAGTTGGACATGGGGGCATATGCCTGTAATCCTAGCTACTCGGGAGGCTGAGGCAGGAGAATCGCTTGAACCTGGGAGGCAGAGGTTGCGATGAGCTGAGATCACACCACTGCACTCCAGCCTGGGCAACAAGAGTGAAACCCCATCTCAAAATATATATATAATAATAACTTCACCTCTTTTTAACTTCACTTTTTACTTTTTTTTTTCTTTTTTTTGAGACGGAGTTTTGCTGTTGTTACCCAGGCTGGAGTGCAATGGCATGATCTCGGCTCACCGCAACCACCGCCTCCTGGGTTAAAGCAATTCTCCTGCCTCAGCCTCCTGAGTAGCTGGGACTACAGGCGCGCACCACCATGCCCGCTAATTTTTGTATTTTTAGTAGAACGGGTTTCACCATGTTGACCAGGATGGTCTCGATCTCTTGACCTCGTGATCCACCTGCCTCGGCCTCCCAAAGTACTTGGGAGTATAGGTGTGAGCCAGCGCGCCCGGCCACTTTTTTTTTTTTTTTTTTTGAAACAGAGTCTAGCTCTCTCATCCAGGCTGGAGCGCAGTGGCACGATCTCAGCCTAGTGTAACCTCCACCTCTTGGGTTCAAGCGATTCTCCTGCCTCAGCCTCCCAAGTAGCTAGGATTACAGGTGCCTGCCACCACGCTCTGCTAATTTTTGTATTTTTAGTAGAGATGCGGTTTCACTGTGTTGGCCAGGCTGGTCTTGATCTCCTGATCTCGTGATCTGCCCGCCTTGGCCTCCCAAAGTGCTGGGATTACAGGTGTGAGCCACTGCCCCAGGCCACCTCTTTTTACTTTTTTTTTTTTTTGAGACAGTCTTGCTCTATCACCAGGCGCCAGGCTGGAGTGCAGTGGCACGAGCTCGGCTCACTGCAACCTCCGCCTCCCGGGTTCAAGCAATGCTCCTGCCTCAGCTTCCCAAGTAGCTGGGACTACAGGCACGCGCCACCACGCCCAGCTAATTTTTATATTTTTTAGTAGAGACGGGGTTTCACCATGTTGGCCAGGATGGTCTCAATCTCTTGACCTCATGATCCACCTGCCTCGGCCTCCCAAAGTGCTGAGATTACAGGCGTGAGCCACTGCGCCCGGCCCTCATTTTACTTTTTATTTATCTTTTATTTTATTTTATTTTTTTTGAGACGGAGTTTGGCTCTTGTTACCCAGGCTGGAGTGCAATGGTGCGATCTCGGCTCACCGCAACTTCCGCCTCCTGGGTTCAAGCAATTCTCCTGCCTCAGCCTCCTGAGTAGCTGGGACTATAGGCACACGCCACCGTGCCCAGCTAATTTTTTGTATTTTTAGTAGAGACAGGGTTTCACCATGTTGACCAGGATGGTCTCGATCTCTTGACCTCGTGATCCACCCGCCTCAGCCTCCCAAAGTGCTGGGATTACAGGCGTGAGCCACTGCGCCCGGCCCTCTTTTTACTTTTTAAGTGTGGCTACTGGAAAATATTAAAGGAGCTTCGTGAGTGACAGTGTCTATCCTGCAGCTCTCTGCGGTGGTCTCCCTCAACTCTGTCCCGCTTGTGCCAGGGCCCCTGGCATGTGCTCTGTGGAAATGGTGTGTGGCGGATGCTGCCCAGATGTCTCCAGGACCTGCTATTTGTCAGTCTGGGCTGGGGAAGGAGACCAGCAAGGGGCTGGAGAGTTCGGCTTAAGTGATACCTAGGTGAGCCGGGGGTTTCCATGGCTGGGACAGATTTTGCTCTCATGGTCAATTTCTTCTTTAAATTTTGGTGAAATCCACACAATGTACAATTAACCATTAAAGAGTAAATTCAGTGGCATTTGGTGCATCCACAATGTCACACAGCCATCGCCTCTATCTACTCCCCAAACATTCTCATACCCCAAAGAAACCTCATTCCCGTCAGATGCCATCCCCATTTTCCCCTCCGCGCGCAGCCCCTGGTGGTCACTCAGCTGCTTTCTGTCTCTGTAGATGTGCCTGTTCTGGACATTTCCACATAGCTAGAATCATACACTACTTTCCTTTTGTGTCTGGCTTCTTTCACTTGAAACAGTGTTCTCAAAGTGCCTCCCCAAGCAAGGTCCATGGACCAGAGTGCCACTCCCCTTTGGCTGAATCGCATTGCATCAGGTTAGCTGCACCTCTTCACATGTATCCTTCTGTTCGTGGACGCCTGGGTGGATGCCCCTCCTGGCAATGGTGAGTGGGGTGCACAGTCTCTGACCAAAACCTACGAGGCCGCCTGGGTGCTGTCTCAGCCCCTGCCTGAGGCCCTTCAGATTCCACTTCTTGTGATAGCTGGCCCTGCTATTCCTTCTTGGAATCCCTAGGAATTCCTCATCCTACTGGAGTTCCCTTGTTTCTACAGCCATCACCTAGGGTGGGACAGGATTGAATGTAGTGTCAGACCCTCACTTCCATCCCCTTCCAGCCGGAGTCAGGAAGTTCGCCCCAGCCCATACTCCGTGTGCTCCACCCTCTGTTCATGTCCTGGGCCTTGGCTGCCAGGGAGGCTGCTCCCCTTCAGACGCCTCGAGCATGCTCCTCCACCAGCCTGCTGCCCCCCAAACTGGGGACACAGAGCAGTGTCCTCACCGTGTGGTGTCCTTGTCCCAAGTCAACCTCTTATCTTCAGCTCCCGCTCAGTCTCACAGCTTCTCTCAGAAGAGGCACAGGTGGGATGAGACAAGCCTGTCTTCATTTTGAGGCCTTGATCCTATTGGGAAAGAGGGTGCTACGGGCTGCATTGTGTTCCCCTAGAATTCCTATGTCAAGGACCTAACCCCCAGGACCTCGAAATGGGTCTGTATTTGGAAATGGGGCTTTTAGGAGGCAATGAAGGTGCAATGAGGCCATAGGTGGCATCTTAATCTGACAAATGGTGTGCTTATAAGGAGGGCCCTGTCTCTGCTCAGCTGTGATGCTCACTAGAGCCTCGACACCTGGCCTCTCCATGTGGCTTGGGTGGGCTTCAGACTTCCATCACAGCATAGGGAGCTCCAGTGACAGAGCCTCTTTGGCCTTTTAGGAGCCAACCTTAAAAATCAGTCAGCATCACTTCCTCTATACCCTAGTGACTGAAGCTGTCGTAGGCCCATTCAAATTCCCTGGGAGGGGACTCAGACACAGTCACGGTATGTGTCAAAACTAAGAACCAGGCTGGGCGCAGTGGCTCACACCTATAATCCCAGCACTTTGGGAGGTTGAGGCGGGTGGATCACAAGATCAAGAGATCGAGACCATCCTGGTCAACATGGTGAAACCCCATCTCTACTAAAAATACAAAAATTAGCTAGGCATGGTGGTGCGTGCCTGTAGTCCCAGCTACTCAGGAGGCTGAGGCAGGAGAATTGCTTGAACCCAGGAGGCTGAGGTTGCGGTTAGCCGAGATTGCGCCATTGCATCCTAGCCTGGGTAAAAAGAGCAAAACTCCTTCTCAAAACAAACAAACAAACAAAAACTAAGAACCAACATTGGCAGTTAGTATTAACTGAACTCAAGACTCCATTCAGATTTCACCTATATGTATATATATATTTTTTGAGATGGAGTTTCGCTCTTGTTACCCAGGCTGGAGTGCAATGGCGCGATCTCGGCTCACCACAACCTCCGCCTCCTGGGTTCAGGCAATTCTCCTGCCTCAGCCTCCCGAGTATCTGGGATTACAGGCGCGTGCCACCATGCCCAGCTAATTTTTTGTGTTTTTAGTAGAGACGGGGGTTTCACCATGTTGACCAGGATGGTCTCGATCACTTGACCTCGTGATCCGCCCACCCCGGCCTCCCAAAGTGCTGGGATGACAGGCTTGAGCCACTGCGTCCGGCCTCATCTATATTTTTGTTGTTGTTGTTGTTGTTTTGTTTTTGTTTGTGAGATGCGGTCTCACTCCTTCACCCAGGCTGGAGTGCAGTAGCACGACCTCAGCTCACTGCAACCTCTGTTTCCCAGGCTCAAGTGGTTCTGCCTCAGCCTCCCAAGTAGCTGGGATTACAGACACGTGCCACCACACCACAATTTTTTCTTTCCCTCTTTCTTCTCTTTTCTCTTCTCTTCCTCCCCCCCTCCCTCCCCCCCTTCTTTCTCTTTCTTTCCTTCCTTCCTTCTTTCTTTTCTTTTGTATTTTTATTAGAGACAGGGTTTCACCATGCTGGAAGGCTGGTCTTGAACTCCTGACCTTGTGATCTGCCTGCCTCAGCCTCCTAAAGTACTGGAATTACAGGTATGAGCCACTACACCCAACCCAGATTTCAACTGTTTTTCCACAAACGTCCTCTATCTGTCTCAGGATCCAATCCAGGCTACTACATTGCATTTAGTGAGATACCACTTTTAAATTTATCAGATTTGAAAAAAGAAAACACTTGCTAATAGACCATGCTGGCGCAACTGTGGGAAAACAGGTGGTGTAATATACTGCTAGAGGGAGTGGAGACCAGTTTGGGAACATTTATCAAAACAACAAGTGCCTAAACTCATTGACCCAGCAAGTTCTCTTCAGGAAATTATCCCAGTTTTATTTGAACATGGGCACCAGGAAGTGGCGCAAACATGTTTATTGCAGCACACTTTGAAATAGTAAAAGACTGTCTGGAGACTGGCTGTTGAAATTATGGCATATCCAAACAGTGGAATATCATGTACTGCTAAAACAAATCAGATATGTACTGACGCAGAGTGATCTCCGAGATACAATTAAGCAGAAAAAGCAAAAACAAACAAGTGGAGCAATGTGTATAAGATGCATGCTTTGGGCCAAAGAAAAAATTTGTTAACATATGTCTACCTTGTATCTGCAGAGGATCCATAACAAAGGTACGAGTGACAGCCTGCAAAGGTATGGACAGAGATGGAAAGACCCAGGCCACAGGAAGATGGGCAAAAATACCCTATTTTCACTGTATATTGTTTTGTAATTTGAATTTTATAATGTGAATATAGTACCCATTCAGACTTAAAATTCTACTTTTCTTTCTTTTTTTTTTGAAGACAGAGTTTCACTCTTGTTGTCCAGGCTGGAGTGCCATGGTGTGATCTTGGCTCACTGCAACCTCCATCTCCTGCGTTAAAGTGATTCTTTTGCCTCAGTCTCCCCTGTAGCTAGGATTACAGGCATGCGCCACCATGCCCGGCTAATTCTGTATTTTTAGTAGCGACAGGGTTTCTCCATGTTGGTCAGGCTGGTCTCAAACTCCCAACCTCAGATGATCTGCCCACCTTGGCCTCTCATATTGGTGGGATTATAGGCATGAGTAACTGTGCCCAGCCAAAACTCTACTTTAAAAATGCTCATTTAAAGACTGGAGCAATGGCTCACGCCTGTAATCCCAGCACTTTGGGAGGCTGAGGCAGGTGGATCACGAGGTGAAGAGATTGAGACCACCCTGGTCAACATGGTGAAACCACGCCTCTACTAAAAATAAAAAAATTAGCTGGGCATGGTGGCACGTGCCTGTAATCCCAGCTACTCAGGAGGCTGAGGCAGGAGAATTGCTGGAACCCAGGAGGCGGAAGTTGCGGTGAGCCAAGATCGCACCATTGCACTCCAGCCTGGGTAACAAGAGCGAAATGCCGTCTCAAAAACAAACAAAAAAAAGAATCAACAACAGAGACAAAGATGAAAGATGATGTATTTTGAAATGACCAAGGCTGGGCGCGGTGGTTCACGCCTGTAATCCCAGCACTTTGGGAGGCCGAAGCAGGTGGATCACGAGGTCAAGAGATCAAGACCATCCTGGTCAACATGGTGAATCCCCATCTCTACCAAAAATACAAAAAATTAGCTGGGCATGGTGGCACGTGCCTGTAATCCCAGCTACTCAGGAGGCTGAGGCAGGAGAATTGCCTCAACCCAGGAGGCGGAAGTTGCGGTGAGCTGAGATCGCGCCATTGCACTCCAGCCTGGGTAACAAGAGCGAAACTCCGTCTCAAAAAAAAAAAATGCTCATTTTGATACTTATAATGATAAATTCAAAGCTTTATGTAGAACTGTTTCACTTAAGATATTGTTTTGGAAGATTTGCCTTTCCCTAAATGCTACTACATGCTATGAGGAATAAAAATAAGGTTTCTACTCCTCAACAAAGCCCTACAAGATAGGTGATGTGTGAACGGCATCTGTTTTCTCCCCTACACCTGCCTTTTTTTTTTGAGACGAAATCTCACTCTGTCACCCAGGCTTGAGTGCAGTGGTGCAATCTCAGCTCACTGCAACCTCTGCCTCCCGGGTTCAAGTGATTCTCCTGACTCAGCCTCCTGAGTATCTGGGAATAGAGGGGCGTGCCACCATACCCGGCTAATTTTTTAGTAGAGACTGGTTTTCACGGTGTTAGCTGGCATGGTCTTGATCTCCTGACCTCGTGATCCACCCGCCTCGGCCTCCCAAAGTGCTGAGATTACAGGCCTGAGCGACTATGTTCCGCCTACACCTGCCTTTCTATACTCTCCATAGTCAGGGCTGGAAGCCAAAGAACTACATTTCCCAGAACTCCCTTGTCATCTAACTCAGCCAGTGGTAGGTACTGGTGGGAGTTTGGACCACACGAGAAGGGCAGAAGCCTGGATCCAATCTCTGGCTTCTGGTGGTACCCCAGGCCACAGTTGTGTCAGTAGCACCAGGCAGCAAATGCAGCTCCAGGCTACTGCTCAGCAGCTGACGAATCAGTTTCTGGAAACAAATTTTCCTTTTGCTCCTGCAGCCTTGTGGGGGTCATAGTAGCTACCTCCAGTTACTAGGCTTTGGGTGCTCTTATTCTCCCTTGCTTCTCATGCCCTTCCAACACCTTTGTAAACAATACCCTGTATTAAATTCCTTCTGGGTAAAGTAGCTTGGTCGGTTTTTCCTCTAATTACACACTAGCTAATATAGATAAAATTTCTCATATTTTACAGGTGAGAAACTGAAATTCAAATAGAGAAAATGACTTAGGGGCTGGGTGCGTTGGCTCACACCTGTAATCCTAGCACTTTGGGAGGCCAAGGTGGGCAGATCATGAGGTCAGGAGTTTGAGACCAGCCTGGTCAACATGGTGAAACCCCGTCTCTAAAAAAAAAAAAACAGAAAGTGACTTAACCAAAGGCAAGTTAAGTACCACTCCTGTCTCATCATGCTCCAGCCACCTTGATCCTAACCTTACTGGAACACCCCGGGCCCATCTGCACCGCAAAACCATTGCATTAATTCCCTCTGTACAGAACATTCTGTCTTCAGCCCTTTATATGCACATTCTTTTTTTGTTTCGTTTTGTTTTTGTTGTTTTTTTGAGATGGCGTTTCGCTCGTTACCCAGGCTGGAGTGCAATGGCGCGATCTCGGCTCACTGCAACCTCCGCCTCCTGGGTTCAGACAATTCTCCTGCCTCAGCCTCCTGAGTAGCTGGGATTATAGGCACGTGCCACCATGCCCAGCTAATTTTTTGTATTTTGGGTAGAGATGGGGTTTCACCATGTTGACCAGGATGGTCTCAATCTCTTGACCTTGTGATCCACCCGCCTCGGCCTCCCAAAGTGTTGGGATTACGGGCGTGAGCCACCGCGCCCAGCCTCATATGCACACTCTTTTGTCTCACTCAAATGTTACCTTTTGAGACAGTTGAAGTATTTTTTTTTTTTTTTTTTTTTTTAGAAACAGGGTCTCACTCTGTCCCTCAGGCTGGACTGCATTAGTACAGTCACAGCTTGCTGCATCCTCAAACTCCTGGGCTCAAGAAATCCTCTCACCTTAGCCTCCCCAGTAGCTAAGTTTTAAAAATTTTTTGTAGAGACAAGTTCTCCCCTATGTTGCCCAGGGTGGCCTCAAGCCATCCTCCTTCCTCAGCCTCCTAAAGTGGTTGGGTTACAGGTGTGAGCCATTATGCCCAGCATTCAAATGTTACCTTTTTAGAGATCTTCTCTTACTACCTATGATCTCCAAGTCACTCCATTACATTACCCTGCTTTTTTTCTTCTTGGTACTACTCTCTGAAAATATTTACTTAGCTGTGTATCCCATCAGAACGTAGAGCCCATTGAGATCCAGGAACAGTGTTTGTCTTACTAAACACTGTATCTCTGTGCCCAAAAGAATACCTGCAGAGTCTACCTTCAACAACGATTTGTTGTAAGAATGAATGAGGCTGGGCGCGGTGGCTCAAGCCTGTAATCCCAGCACTTTGGGAGGCCGAGGTGGGTGGATCACGAAGTCAAGAGATCGAGACAATCCTGGTCAACATGGTGAAACCCCATCTCTACTAAAAATACAAAAAATTAGCTGGGCATGGTGGCGCGTGCCTGTAATCCCAGCTACTCACGAGGCTGAGGCGGGAGAATTGCTTGAACCCAGGAGGCGGAGGTTGGGGTGAGCCAAGATCGCACCATTGCACTCCAGCCTGGGTAACAAGAGTGAAACTCCATCTCAGAAAAAAAAAAAGACTGAATGAATGAAAGTGTAGTAAGAGAAGTAGCAGATTACTTTGAGCACCAGCTAGGACATGCCCTTCCACTGGCTACCTTCGTACAGCAGGACAGAGGGCTCACGGGAGTCTCCACTTTATGACAGCCCTCAGGAACTAATTCCCACCACTCAGGCTGTGCTCTCGGTAGGTGCTCAGCTAATACACACTGAGTCAATGAGGCTATGATCCTTCCAGACAACCTCTGTCCATTCACAGTAACCAGGAGGCAATATTGTGAGGATCTTGGCCCAAGCTGGCAAACTGGAAGCAGATGGCGATACAGAGGGTAAGGGGAGAGTAAAAGCTGGAGAAATGGGAGGGTCGTTAGGGCCACAGTTGTTTGCGCATTTACATTGACTCTGTGCACTAGACCTGCCTCCAGTGCTTCTTGAGAGGCACAATGGCAGAGTGTAATCCCTGCAACTGGTCAGTCTGGACTCAAATCCCAGCACCCTTCCCGGCTGACAGTGTGAACAAGTCACTCAAGTCCTCTGTAAGTTGATTTCCTCATTTGAAAAATGAGATTTTTGCCGGGCACGGTGGCTTACCGTAAGGTAACAAGAGTGACCTTACGGGCCGAGGCTGTGAAGGGCAGGAGGGTCGACGCGGAGGAGCCGTGCGCTAGAGGCCCGCAGACAGAGCAGTGGCCCCCTGGCCAAAGACGCGGCCTGGCAGGACGAGGCTGCAGGGCCGGGCGCCTCCACGCGGCGCTCTGGGAGTTGTAGGCACTTTCCTGTCCTCTCTCCATCTGCTACTGGCTCATGAAACCCGAGGACATACCGGCGGGTAGGCGCCGGTGACTCCCAGGCTGAGAACGCCGGGAACTTCAGTTTCTTCCTAAGTGCTCGAACCAGGACTGCTCCCCGGGGCCTCGCGCCCTCGCAGAAGGACTACCGGCCCCAGCGACCCCGGGGGCGGGGCTTCCGGCGCGCTGACTTGTGGGCGCGGTAGTTCCGCCGGGTCCGGCTTCTGCCCGCCGAGCGGCCCACGATAGCGGGCCGGACTACACTTCCCGTCGGTTCGTCTGCTCTCCCGATGCCGCCTTGGCGCGAGACGTTGGCGAGCAGAGTGTCTCCAAGATGGCCGCTTGGGGAAGGAGGCGTCTTGGCCCGGGCAGCAGTGGCGGCAGCGCCCGAGAGAGGTGAGACCCAAGGGCTTGTTGCTCCCGGTGCAGGCGGCTTAGGGACCGGAGAGCCCAGCGCGGCTTCCGGGGCCTGCACCAGGCTTCCTGCCCTGGCTCTCCGGACCCCCGCCGGGCATACGGGGTTCCAGTTCCGGAGGATCCGGGATCCGGGTGGGAGTCAGGCCGAAGGTCTCGGCGGAGAGCTTAGGGGAAGGGAGGTTACCCGAGCTGGGTAAGGTGGGCAGCGGCCATGCGGGGCGGGGCCCAAAGCCAGGCTCTGCGGAGAGGAACTGGCGCCTCGCGCAGGCCCCAGGAACCTGCCTAGCTGCCCGCGGGCCAAGCGGCGGCAGAAGCACCCTCCCCGCTTGGCCACGCGCGGGGCCATCTCGGCCGCGGCCCCCGACGTGGCGAGGAGGACCGGGCCCCCGGAGAGAGAAGAAGGGGAAGCCTTCACAGAGAAGGCCGGCCGCTGCAGGGGCAGTTTGATCCGCACGTTTACCAGGGAGCTTTAGCTCCCCATCCGCTCCATGTGTCTCTTCCGGGCCCGGAGCCGGCCACTTCCTCGAGGGGGCTATTCTGGAGACTTTTGGATTGTTCTGTGCGAGCGCTCCTGCCGTGGAAGTTCTTTAAAGTTACCTTTACTAATGAATGGTATGTCGCTAGGGAGCTAGGAGCGTGTTTCTTCAAAGGGGGACCTCCGTTTGAATAACCAATTTCTGGATGAGGTTGGAGTAGTTTCCGCATTTCATGTTGAAGTTGCAGTTTTTGCTTCTAGGTAGCAGCTTCAGCTAGTGGAAGTCACTAGAAGCTGTTCAGCCAGTAGAAGTTTGGGAGACCATGTATACTGGTGGAGCCACCTGGATTAATTATCCGCTAAAGCTTGATTGGAATAGCAGCCGTTAGCAAAAAAGGAAAGTTTGGGTTTTGCTGGGTCCCCCACTCCCCACCCCACCCCACCCCACCCCGTCTTTCTTTTGGTGAGGATTGTCTAACAGAAAAGTTCTCTTCCTCTCTACTATTCCGCATTATTCCTTTTCTATAACTGATTCCATCCTGTGTTCATTGCTATTGCTTGCAGATGGCCTTCCCAGCTAGGAAGATTATTCCTGTTTGGCAGTTGCCATAGAATCCTTTAGCTCGCCTTTTATTCTTGAGCCCGGTTATCCAACGTTGCCCATTCTGCTTTTCCTCTTCCTTGGAAAAGCAATGGCAAACACTTTCGTTTTTCTAACTCCTGCCTGGTATTTCTTAGATTGGGCTATTTAAATGAGTTACCTCACTGGTTTTCACACGCCCTTAACAAAAACATTTTCAAGATATTTAATGCAAACAGTAATAGGAAATAACGTGTTTAGAAAACTCAAAGAAATGGCCGGGCGTGGTATCTCAAGCCTGTAATCCCAGCACTTTGGGAGGCCGAGGTGCGTGGATCACGAGGTCAAGAGATCGAGACCATCCTGGGCAACATGGTGAAACCCCATCTCTACTAAAAATACAAAAAAAAAAAAAAAAAAAAATTAGCTGGGCATGGTGGCGCGTGCCTGTAATCCCAGCTACTCAGGAGGCTGAGGTAGGAGAATTGCCTGAACCCAGGAGGCAGAGGTTGCGGTGAGCCAAGATTGTGCCATTTCAGTCTGGGTAACAAGAGCGAAACTCCGTCTCAAAAAAAAAAGAAAAGAAAAATGAGATTGTTGATAATAACAGTATCACTTTTTTATTGGACAGTCTCATTCTGTTGTTCAGTCTGGAGTGCAGTGATGTGATCTCGGCTCACTGCAACCTCCACCTCCTGGGTTTGAGTGATTCTCCTGCCTAAGCCTCCTGAGTAGCCTGGATTACAGGCGCATGCCACCATACCCAGCTAATTTTTGTGTTTTTAGCGGAGATGAGGTTTCACCACGTCGGCCAGGTTGGTCTTGAACTCCTGACCTCAGGTGATCCACCTGCCTTGGCCTCCCAAAGAGCTGGGATTACAGGCGTGAGCCACTGTACCCGGCCAACAGTATCACTTTCATAGGGTTGTTGTGAAGATCAAGATGTAGATCACTCAAAATATAGAACAGCACTTGGCACTACATAATAATCAGTTGTTACTGTTACCTTGCGCTGTTTTTCTAAGTTCCATATATGTATCACCTCAGGAAATACAGCAATTCTCTGAGGGGAGGTACCATAATAATATCATCCCATGACACAAACCAGGCAGCTGAGAAACATAAGCTACACCAGCAGCCCCTGAGCCAGAAGAAGTACGTTCTGGAATCCCTAGTGTACCCTCTGAATCACCACACTGATCCAGAGAAAAGACAGGCATATCTGCAGGCAGGGTCATACTGTGGAATTGTCCAGAGGTCTCCAGCACGGGCTATACTGACACTTGGAGGCAGGGCTGTATGACCCAACTGGAAGACCAGGTACTTTCTAGACACCGGACAGGTACAAGGTCTTGAAGCATAGAAGTTGGCTGGGAGGCAAAAAAGCATTTTAGGCAAGGCATAGAACATCTGTGTACCTACAAACCCTCTGAATTTACTAGGCTGGTAAGTTCCAGACAGGAAAGGTAAGCAGTTGAATTTGGAGAGTGAGGCAATTTTCTAACTAAGGAGGGGCCTCTGGATTGTGCTGAGTAGGAATCACACACCATAGGTGATGAAGGACCGTGAGAGGATTGTAAGCAGCTAAAATTGTGGTAGAATGTGAGCTGGAAGGAAATCCAAAAGAAACCTCAACAATGAGAGGGTTGCCTTCCGCCTGCTGTAGCCTGCAGGGGGTTGGGGGCGCGGTTCCACTGCACAGGAATGTGACACACCCGGCTGGTCTGGATCTGGACCAGGTTTTCGCATTTAAGTATTTATGGGACCAACTAATATGTTTAGCAACATTGTCTGTGGGAGCAGTAGAGAGACTGAGAAGTTCACAAATGTAAGAGATCCCCCAAAAAGTCCACAGATCTGAGGCAGCAGCACCTGGGAATCTCAAGGTTGCGGTTAGTCCTTCCTGACTGGCTCTTTACAGGAGTGTCCAGACAGGGAGATGTCGGGTCCTGGATTCCCGTCAGGTGGATGGTTTAGCCCTGCATCTGCCTCCAAAGATTCCGAGATTATGCCATCGCAGCGGCAGGGCAGGAGTGAGTGCGGGGCAGGAACTGATTCTAAGAGGCCTGGAGGCCCTGTCTAAAACAGGGCTATCGCTGTCGCAGGGCCGTCTCTCCTTCGCGGCAGTTATTACACAGCTATTCCCCTTCCTTGCTTTCAGATCCTTTCCTCTAACAGTCTGCACCTGCAAGCGGGACCTCCGGTGGCAGCAGGGACCACATGTCTGTCTCGGTCTCCAAAGTACCCGGAGTCTAAGAGAATTGGGGGGATGGTGTGGGAGCAGCGCCTGCCTCCAAGGAGGGCCTGGGCGGTGCCTCCCATACCTTGTTACCTGCACTCCAGCCTGGGTAACAAGAGCGAAACTCTGTCTTAAAAAAAAAAAAAAAAAAAGAAAACTCAAAGTATTAGAAACGTAGGCCCTCTAGTTGGGCCTGAAAAGGAGGAGTTGAATAGGGATGCCCCAGGCAGGGAATAGGAGCCTTGCCAGCACAGGTTAAGCTTTTATTGATCTAAGAAAAGATATTAAGAGTTGTTTTTGCTTTGGCTTGAGCTAAGTATTTATTCAAAATGGAGTCTGCAAACCAGCAGTGCAGTTGACTGTTGAACCTCAACAGTTGTTTTTTTGAGTCAGTGTTTCTCTCTTGTTGCCCAGGCTGGAGTGCAATGGTGCCATCTTGGCTTGCTGCAACCTCCACCTCCTGGGTTCAAGCGATTCTCCTGCCTCAGCCTCCCGAGCAGCTGGGATTACAGGCACACACCACCACACCCAGCTAATTTTTGTATTTGTAATAGAGACTGGGTTTCTCCATGTTGGTCAAGCTGGTCTCAAACTCCTGACATCAGGTGATCCGCTTGCCTCGGCCTCCCAAAGTGCTAGGATTACAGGCATGAGCCACCATGCCAGGCCATTCTCTCAACAGTTCTTAAGAGAATTAAAATTAGTTGCCAATAGATTTCACATAAAACGCTCGCTGAAAAGCTGGGTAGTGGCTGACTCTTTTTGGTCAGGACAAGTGCTCTCCAGTTCATGGTTCCTCATCTGACTGCTTGACTCAATGCATTTATCTGCTTGGTCTCTGTAGGTGTTCAGGTTTGGTCTGGAGCTCAAGGCTCTACCCACACATGCAAGTGTGTGCCAGCAGGAATGTGGCATTTGGTTTTGTAGTTTGGATGTCACCATCTACTCTCCTAGAACATGGTATGGGTGGAGACTACCCCTCTGTTTGCTTTTGCTATAAAGCCCTAGTCGGGTTCTGTTGGAAGAGTCACTTGCCCAAGCCCAGCTTCCCTAAGGTCTTCCCATGCTGAGGAGGGGCTGGTAACATAACCTGCTATGTGGTATGTTACCATAACCTAGCGAGCTGACTTCTGGGCATCCCTCCATTCCTGCTCGGTTAGTGATGGGTGTTCAGGTGGGGCAGGGTGGATTAGCTGATGACCTAGATTATGAGATCTGAGTGTATTATTGGCTCTTATGACTGAAGTAGGCTGTTTATGGTTCTCTTAAATGACTTTGTTCCGTGTCACATCTGTGCTCAGATCTCAGCTCCATGTTATATGAGTGCTCTCCCCAGTTGCAGCTCATACCTGGTTGATATCTGCTTTTGCTGAAGCTGAGGGAAACATTGTCTGGTTTGGGGCAGGGGCTGGAACAGAGCAACACTTTGGGCAGACTTGCCAGATTTGCCAGTGGCTACCAACTCTTGAAGCATGCGTTGTACATAAAGGCCCCACCTGGCGACAGATTGTCCCCAGTATTACTGCCAGTGCTGTGTTCTAGATGCTCCAGCTTAGCGCCTGTGGTGTGTGGGTTCTTGCTTTACCTTGCTGAGTCTACAACCACAGCCTTAGAATCAGTGCTCAATTAACACAGCAGTTCAGTAGCCACCAGCCATATGTGGCAATTACATTTAAATTCATTAA